CTACAAGGCAGAAAGGTAATTCACACATAATAAACATCATAACTAAAGCTTTATCGATTGTTTTATGCGCGATTCTTCTAAATCAACTGAACAAAAATAACCATCGATATGACGTTGTCCAGAGTGTTCAGGAGTTTTTCCTTGTTTAGAAAATGTTGACTTTGTAAAATCAATTCATTTACTTCATTTTTTGAACATTGAGAAACATGAGAATGTAAAAGATATGGTCGGGCATCTTTAAAAAATGACAAACATGGCTTACAAGTAACTTGGTAATGTTCATTATCGAGATGGTTACCACGTGTAAAATATTACTATATTTTGGACCAAGTTTATTTTTGTTATCAGTCATCTTTAATTATTATATTTGTGGGAGAAGAGAAATGATATGATTAGAAAAGTAAGGATCATACTTTTTTTATTTGTATAACAAGTAATTCTAATAATAATGTTGTTGTTGTTGTTGTTGTAATTTACTAATATTATTAAATATTAGATTTTAACGTCTACAGATGATCAAGAAATTCTCGACACGTTGGAATATTTAAAGTCTTCATCATCCAACACAGGTCTTATACATGAATCATTTTGGTACAAGGATTCAAATAATTTTACAAGACCATGGTTTGCGTATGTACATCCATACATCCATTTATTTATTTGCTAGAATGTGTCGTCAAACAAATATTAATTTTTATATTTTTTTTTTCTTGTTCCTCGTCCATGCTTTCTTCTTTTATTATTATTATATTTCATTCTTCCGTTAATTAATTATAATAGATGGGGAAATAGTCTATTCGGTGAGAAAACCCTCATTTACTATTTAGTAATGATCGTTCTGAATCGCCAATTTCCTCAATTCTTTTCAGCCCTTTTATACTGTATTTATTTGTATTTTAATAGTTGTGATTATATTTTTAAAGAAATGTTCTTTCTGTTGTTGTTGTAGAAGAAAAAAAATAAGAAGTGAAGAATATCAGCAAGTCGATTAAAAGGGAACGGAACAGGAATGGGAATATTTTTTTATTTTTAAATTTTTTTGTAAAAACTTGTATTTATTTTAGGTCGCATAAATAAAATTTTTTCGGTTATTTAAAAATGGCCCACCCGAATTTTTTTATATACTTGAACAAAATCAGCTTGCTTCATACGGTAAAGGAATATTGCAAGTCGTTTGATAGGAGAAATATTATAATACCAATAATTCTTTATAATAATTTAAAATCCTGAATTTTTAAATAGCAAAGGTTTAGACTGAAATCAAACTATCATTTAATCCTAACATTGAATGGACATCTTTTATTTTTTAAACAGTCATGTGCATATCGGCCGATTTGGTTTTTTGGGACCCTTTATACATTATTGTGTCTCGGTCAATAGAATTATAATTAACCCCAAAAAATTTATTTGCTCCGCTAAAAAAACTATTTTACTATTCGATACAAAATCAGCGCATATGGATAAAATAAAAAGAAAAATAATTATAACGAATAATTTAGGAGATTAAATTAATCATCCATTGATTCTTTCTTTTAATTATTAGAATCTAATGAAATCAAATGTAAATAAAAATATTGCCAGTAATAATTAATGGATAGTAAGTTCCAATTAATTAATTAATAACGAGTTTTTATTTACCTTCAGCATTTAATAGAAGGGAGTTAAAATCAAGATTATCCAATGAACTATCATTACTTGTATAAATTTTTAAGCTTTTTGATTTAGCAATCTCATCATCTAAGATTCTACTTTTATGATATGCACCTGGATGTGATTCGTGTATTTGTTGCAAAGAACTACTACCGCTATTAGTAATATTATTACTATTATCATCATTAATAATTTCGTTATTTTTATTAATAGCAAAGCTCCAAAGCTCTAGACTAGTTGGTCTTTTTGATGGATCCACATCCCAACACTTCTGCATAACTTGTGCATAATCTTCAGGCATTCCAGGTAATATTGGTGGTCGTAAACCTTCTGCACATATATCAAAAATCAAACGATGATTGTGAGCTCTATCATCAAATGGTGGATGACCTGCAAATATTTCCCACATTAACATCCCAACACTATAGATATCTGATTCTTTGGTGTTCTTTTTGCCTCTAAGTACTTCGGGTGCAACATATGATACAATTCCATAGACTTTATCTGATGATTTTTCATCAACTGGTCCACATAATCCCAAATCTGTAATATAACAATTACCTCCACTCACAAGTTATTACCATTATGTAAATCACAATGCATTAAATCTTTCTGATGTATCAGAAATAATGAATTTCCTAAATAATAAAATATTGTAATTCTGTTTTTTAATGTTAAATTTAAATGATTTTTTTGTAAATAACCCCTTAAATTTCCTTCTGAATAATAATTTAAAACAATTGCATAATTTCCATTATTTGGGAATTTGGTTATACCATAACATTGAACAATAAGTGGTGCTTTAATTTTACAATGATTCATTGCCTGAAAATAAATAAAATCAATTAGTATTATATATATAATACAGTACTGTTTATTTTGTTTTAAATGACAACTACCAACCTCATCAAAAAAGGCTTTTCCTGGATTACTTGAATTATTTAAACTTTTTAATACTACATCATATCCTCCTCCTAAATAACTAAATTCCTTTTTATTTTCGTTGTAATCAACTATTCTTCCTCTTGTCCATTCTGCAGTATAAATTGAACTAAATCCACCTTCTGTCAACTTTGTTACTTTTATAAATTGCTCAAAAGGTATCCATTCTAAAATAAATGTTGGAAGTGATGAAATCATTTGGCATTGTTGAATAAAGTTATCAACTATGTTGTTTCCAGATGTCCAAGTGGTGAAAAGACTCTGTAATTGTAAACTAATACAACCTTCACAGAACCTACCAGAGTATCTTGTCAATTTACACTTGTTACATTCTTTTGGTTTACCTGATTTACACATTGCATTATTTAATTCAAAGTTGTAAATAAACTTTTCCTTACAATATTCTTTTTCGTTTTCAGAAAGCTCCTTGTTTTTTTGACCAATGAAAAAAAATAGTCTTTTATACTTTCCTCATCAGAATTAGCCAATACATTATTGAACATTTCATTATTAATTTTACGTACAAAGTGCCTCCTTTCTTGTGATAATAAATGATTATATAAAGATATATAATATAAAATGAGATTTTTCGTATTTTTGGTAGATTTCATACCTGGTTTTGAGAATAACGGTTACATTATTTCCCTTTTCATTGAATGATGTGTAACAAACAATTTTTCGTACATCATTTTTTTTGATTAATTGATAAGGATGTAAATTGAAAAACGAAAATTGCATTATTTAAAGAACAACTTCATCATAACCAAACTCTAGTGATAGATTTATCAATAAAAGAAATTCAACATTCTCAAAAATATCTAAAAACCTGTTTTATGTGATATGTAAAGGTCGTTTTAAGTATCAATATTGATCAACTTATGTTGCTTCAAACTCAGACATCAAAGACAACTTGAACACATTATCGATTTAATACTACTCATATGTATGTAAAGTCAATTAATAATAACAGAATGGTATTAATTTGTAAAAAAGAAGAGGAAATTTTATTTTGAAAGAAAACACTTGGAAAAAATAAGTAGCTTAATTATATGAAATTTCTAATTCAAATTCCATGATAATTAATTATTCTTCTTGCATCATTGCAATATACATACAATGATATAATAATTCTTTATATCAAACACTTTTACTTACATCTAGTGTTTTTAATTCCGTCAAATGGTTTTACTTATGTCAAGGGATTTTACTTAGTAAAATCTTCAAAATAGCCTGGTGAGTAACTACCTTTAGTCAATACTTTAGTTACGTTAATGACTAAAGTCAAAAGTTTCATCATACATCATTAGCTCGCAATGTTAATTTAATATAGTTAATTACCTTTTTGAATTCCTCTGACAAATTTAGATATTACTTATATGAATAGTTCTTTAATTAGTTGAGCCAGACCACATAATTTGCCAATCTATTGAAAAATTCAGAAACTATAACAATCTAGTTTATGAATATTTTGAAAGTAACTATGAAATACATCACAATCAATCATCCAATTATAATCTAAATGTGCGGTTCCAAGTATCCATAACAGCCGATTTGGTTTTTTGGATCCTTTTTTCAAACCTTATATCTTATTGTGTCTTGATGTTAAACACAAGTATTTTTAATGTGTAAACTGGTCAGTAGAGCATAATGGACACTCATTTTGTGCAACAGTCATTTGTATAATAGTCAGGCGGTTACACAGAGCCCATTGCTTCTGAAACTTCACTAGAATATAGCTGTAGCCTCTCTAAGTCCAGATCATCAGCAAGATCAAAATTATCTCACACTTTTATAATCAAACTTTTGCAAGAACTTTCACCATAACATATGTTATGTTGATCATTTTTTTGTGATCTGCAACAGTGTCCACTATGCTCCGCCAATCACTATATAACACTCACAGATCGTCAATTAAATTAAATAAATTTACATAACATTTTTTTCTTTGTAGTATAATAAAGTATAACAGATAAATTGCAACATTTTTTGAAATAAATATAAATTTTATGAGTATTCGAAATAATTACAAATATTCGAAGTCTAATAATAATAATATAATAATATTTGAAATTCGTAATACAAATATTCAAATAATAATAAAGTTAGGATCCCTGTCCCATAAAAATGTTAGTGGGAGAATGGGTGTAATTAACAGTGATATTAAGGGATCTGATTATGTGGATCAGATGAAAATAAGCGATTTTATACTAGAGAATTGTTTTGGTTCGGTAAATGAAAAATTCGAAATTTTTGAGCACATAAATGATCAATAAATCTCGTGCCGTAGATTAATTTACTGTAATTTCATGTAACATGATGTTCACTTTGTCTGGTTTTGTTGCAGTATGCCCCATATATAATTAATTGTCTTTAAATTATACACAATAAGCATTAAACTATCTTATTTTTTATTTTCTCATATTCCGACGCTTACTAACTGGTCTAGCATATGGCCTATTTTGAACTGGTCTAGCTGCAGAGCTACTACCACTATTACCACTACCACCATCATAAAAATTGAAAATTGGTAGTGGTGCTTGTGTACCATTATTATTATTACTATTATCATCATTGTTACTATTATTATTATTAGGGAAACCAAAGATTGTATTATTGGCAAGTCCTCCCTGATATGGACTAATATTATTGTTGTTGTTACTGCCATTACTTTGACTTCCACCAAAAGAAAAAATAGGCTGTTGCTGCTGCTGTTGCTGTTGTTGTTGCAATTGGATTGGAATCTGAAATTTAAATGGTGTTGTTGCTGATGATGTATCAGATGAAAAAAGTTGAACTGGTGGTGATGTTCTAGGAACATTTACACTGAAGTTAAATGAAGCACCACTGCCATTACCACTAACACCACCAAAGCTATTACCACTATCAAAACCATTACTACCAAATTGCATTGATGATTCATTAGGATTTTTTTGAACAAAACCAGTTTTAGGATTAATTAATATATTTCGAGTATTTTGAGGAAAAAAATCTCCAGAACGTTTTCGACTTTGATTATTATTATTATCATTGTTATTGTTTTTGTTGTTATTATCACCACCATTATCAGCAGCAGCAGCTGATATATTATCCCACATTGATTGATGACCAAACAATGAATTATTTCCAAAAGTTTGTGGTGTTGTTTGTGGTGTTGATGGATTACTAGATAAATTTGGCGAAGAAGCCCATGGCTTTGTTGTATGTGTTATAGCTGTATTTATTTTTTGGTTAGTGACAGAAGGTGTAGTGATGGAAGAAGCAACAGCAGGATCAGTAACAGTAGTAGTGTGAGAAGTAATGGTTGTGGCAGAACCCATGTCAATATCCATTGAATCAGGATTTGAACCTATGCCCAAAGATGTTGATAGTTGTTGTTGCGGTTGTTGTTCAGCAGTTTGAGAAAAAGAAAATAATGGATTGATTGAGGGTAAAGGTGTTTGCTTAAAAAAATCTTTATTATCATCCTTATTTTTAATATCTTTAGTTGTTGCAGAATTAACAACAGATTTAGCAGATAAATCAGCCGGAGGAGATGGGTTATTTTTTGTGTTAAATAATAAATTATTTTTATTATTGTTGAAAAAGTTTGGTATTTTATCCTCATCATTCAGTTTTGATGAATTAGTAGAAGAAACATTTGATATTCCAAAATTATTATTATCATTATTATTATTTGAATTTGTATTTGCATGAGACAAATTGTCACCAACAACTTTAGATTTTATGTAATCAGTAGTTGTGGTAGAAAATGGAAGAGAATTTAATAATGGTGTATTTGATGATTTAGATTTTTCATCAGATGCTGTTGTTGAAGCTTCATTGGATGGCATAGTTGTAGTAGACAATTTTGGCTCTTGTGTTTTATTAAAATCAAGTGTTGGAGTTGAGATTTTTTTGTTAAGATGACTTGTTGATGATGTCAAATGAGTTGATTTGATAAGACTACTGCTGATAGATTCCCTTTTTTTAACATTAAGGATTGGACTATCATCATTCTTATTAATATTATTATTATTCATACTATTTAAATCATCAAAAAAACTGCTAGGAAAACTTGAAATGGGTTTAGAATTATTGTTATTGTTATTGTCATTGCTGTCATTATTATCATTGTTGTTATTTGAAATTGTGATTGGTGATTCATTTGGTAAAGGAATTTCTACTTGATTTTGTATTTGCTTATTATCAACTTTATTACTATTATTTAATAATTTATCAAAAGTTGTCAAAGATGGTAATGGTGTTGGCAATGATATTGTTGGTTTCTCAATGACAACATTACCATCAACCTTTTGTTTTGATGAATCAAGCTGCAAGCTATTATTTTTTGAAACAGAATTTTGAACATGTGAGGAAGATGATATACTAGTTATATTGTTTGTGGTACTACTATTTCTATTATTATTATTATCATCATTACTACCACTACTACTAACAGCTTCATTGTTATTATAATTATGCGTGCCAAATAAAATTTTAGTATCAATCTTATTTGAATTTTCAACAAAATCAACATTTATTTTGTTTAAATTATCAAATTCAAATTTCTTTGAAGCAGGCTTAAATATTTTTGTCTTTTCTTGATTGTCATCATACAAAAGTGATGAATTCGATTTTGGATTTTGATCTCGCAATTGAGCAAAATTTTTATACCAAAAAGGATTGATTTTATTATTACCCTGATTTAAACCGAATGTTGTTGATATCTTTGATGATACAGGTGAAGTAACTTCAGAAAGCCTTTTGTTACAATTTAAAAAAAAATCAACATCAACATCATCATCATCATCATCAATAATATCTCTTGCAGAGTATTTTCTCCCACCAATAATTGGAATGATTTCTCTTTTCAAATTTTCAGTAGTAATAACACTAGACCCAAGATTATCAATATTATTGTTGTTGCTGTTGTAATTATTATTGTTCTTGTTGTTATTTGTAGTTTCTAAATTAACATTATTGGTGAAAATTATTTGTTCGAGATTTTGGCTTGCCATGTTAGAACTTGTTCGTTGAAGACCTGTTGTTTCTTCTAAAGTGGTGGCGGTGGTAGTAGTAGTAAGTCTCTTTAACCAGTTTGAAAAGTAATTATTGAGATGACCGAACATATTATTTATATATAACCAAATATTGTTTGAATTTGTGGTACTAGCTACAGATGTAGAAGCAGTACCAGTTCTTTCGTAAGGTCTTCTTGAGTGAATCCGATTTTTACGAGACCTAATGGGACCATTATTAGATGATAAAGGCTCCATCATTCAAAAAAAAAAATATTATTATTATATTAATATACTATTATTATTATTATTATTATTATATTAGAGGAGGACAACAAAAATACAAAAAAAGAAAATTTGTCATGCATGTATCACTTTTTTTACACATACTGCTGCATTCTAATTGGATGACATTAATCCTAATATTTTTTTGAATAATTTATTGAAAAAATAAAGCGAATAAAAAAGTCAATTTTGACTTCTCTAATAGCTTAACCTTGTTGAAGGCAATGAAATTCCCAGTTGAATGAAAGACCTCGCCATTAAACTCGGACGATCTTTCACACAAACTTTGTCAGAATATTGATCCAGAATTCTTGAATTCTTTAACCATAATGACCGAATCAAACTTCTTCGAAAGATACACTTGTTACAGGTCTAGAAAACATGAATAGTGGTGGTGATTTTATTGGCCAAAAATAATTTTGACAGTCGAAATAATGGGACACTCGTTTGACAAAATCGAACGCCGATCTTTTTATGTTGTAATTTCAATTGAATTCGAGTCATTTGATCCCGGCAAGCCATCATGTGAATACACAGGGCACTTTTGCACTCGAACTCTTCATGATTTTATATAGCAAATGTCAAAAGGGTTGAACAATTATAAATTAAAAATTTTAATATAGGCCTGAATTTTGACAATGGTATACACGTATATGATAAATGATTAATAAAGAAGAACCATTAACAATTTACATTCATTCATTCTTTTGTATAGAGTATGCTGCCACTTACAAAAGGAAAAGAAAACATTTACTAATGTAAGTGATAATGAATCAGAAGTAATTTAGTGAAATACAGATTTAAATTTAATTGTAAGATGGAGCGAATAATTAATTATAAATCTTCTGCATGTCATTCTGCATACTCGAGAAATGCACCATGAACTAGGCAACTTCATGCAGCGCAAGCTAAACAAAAATGGCAGAAGATAATGATCAAACAATTAATTGATCAAGTGTTCAATTGTAAGCCCAGGAAATCAAGAATAAAAGTAAAAATAACGAAATTTTTTTTGAAGTTTTGCCACTGATCAACATAGAAGATAGTCGGTGACTAAGTCGGATCTTTTTATTCATTGGACTGTACCATACAATCAAAAAAAAACTTGATTTATTATTTATATCAATGAAAATTTTTATGGAAATTACGATTGTTCAATGTAATATGGTGGCCCTAAATCTACAATAAACAAATTGTACAATTCCCATTTTGCATTATTATCTCTTTGAGGGTGTATATGATTTAAAACACCAGTAATTAATCATTGACTTTATCATTTGTATATTTGTGGATGTCATAATATTACGGCATCTGAGTGATAGTCGTAATTAAAAGTTGTAAAGTCATAATTAGGTCGTAATGTCATACAGTACATAATACAGACCAAATGTAATAATCAATGTAATCCTAAAAGAAATTTGAAAAAATTGTTATTAAATGGTCATATAACTTCCAAAATATGTATGTGATAACTAACGACTTTGGTTAATAATGCCAGCACTTTATATCTGGCCAAACAATCTTAATACCTTACGTTTACATAAAAACACTTCAATTCTTTTAAAATGTTTACGCTTAATGAAAACCAAGAATCAAACTTTTGCTTTCTACCAAAGCAAATAACCAAAACCGAGTTACAAACTCTCAGAGTTCTATATAGGGTTTCTAGTCAAATAAGGTTTATTTGAATTATTCATTACGAATTTGAGTACTCAAATTACATTGAAAGTTTATTCGAATAAGAATTGTATTACGAATAGAAATTCTACTACTCTGATAACCAAATAAACAATTAAACTCTACTATTAATTTCCTATTACAAAAATGTTTTTATTAAATAAGAGAATTTGTAAAAATGTTTGTCACAGAAATGAATTAATTAACAATTTTCTGCCTTCTACTCTTATGAGCAAGGTTTTGAAATAATGTTAATTAATCAATTAGTTAAGTAGTTAAGTAGTATTTACTAGCTAATAGTAGATAGTCATTAGTAATCTTCCTTCTAACATTTCATCTAAATCTTCAAAGTCTTCAAAATCACATTCAAATTTCTTCATCCGCTTCAATTGAATTAACTTCATCTTCTGAGCATTAACAAATGGATATTATACAAAATCACAAAAGAATTCTAGCAATTATAAATCTATATTTTTTTAATTTACCTATATAAAAATTTCAATATAGAAACCCATGCCACAAATTAAATGGCTTAAAATACTTGACCAAGAATGAAAGTTCGCAGTTAAAAGATACTTTAAGAGAAATCTCACTAATAACCCTGATACAAATTCTGATGAAATTTCAGAAACAAATGAAGAATTAGCATAGATATACAATGGAAAGAGAAGCAAGACGATTATCATCATCATGTCTTAATTAAAGAAGAACCTGAATAACATTCTGATCTTGTAAGTTATTTGATTATTCTTGATCTTTTTTAGTTTTTAATATGGTAAGGGTGCTTTAGTAAAAATCCATAATTTATTACGTATATTAATTACGGAATACACTAAACCAGATGGATTTGAAATGTTGAATGTTCCTATTCATAGAAAGAGATGTAGGTATGATTCAGTTCTAGTAACAAATAGTCTCTCTAATTTTATTCATTTGTGTTTTTATATTTAGATAAAGTTGTTCATATAATTCAAACAACAAATAATCATGACTAGAGATGGGAAATTGCATGAAATTTCAAAATTTCATGCATAATATTTATAAAATATATTATGACTATCAAAGTAAAATTTTTAATGTGTTGTTGCCATTTCAATACAATATGTATAGTGAACCATTGACATATTCAAGCACCAACTTTAATACATAACAAATATCAGATATATAGTTTTTAATTGAAATATCTCCAACCAACAGTTGGACGAGTTTTAGATCCTAAAAGTTCTTTTAGATTAATCATATTTGTCACATCAATCACTCCTACACCAGGCCCACCAACATTTGATATATAACATTTGTATCCAATTGATTCTAACGAAATTATCACTTTACTCAATTCACTATCACTAACATCTACCATGTAAATATTAAATATATAAATCTGTTAATAATTATAATTATAATAAACAACAACAATAATAATAAATATAAATATTTACCCTCTCTTATCAATGTCAATGCACATCCACCACCTCTGGTTCCAGTAAGTTTTGAGTGTAATTTATAATCTGCTGTGATTTCACATATTTTATCATGTGAACAGTGTCCATTGGCAAGATGATGATTTATATCAATAAATTCCTAATAAAAATATATATACTGTTAGGCAGATAGATATATTTGAATATTTCTTACAAAAAATCAAATACCCCAATCTTCTCATAGAATTCACTGATATCTAATTTCAATTCAATATAGCTTATTAACACATTATAATAAGAACAAGAAAGAAAGAAAGAATTACTGAGATCAAATACCAATTTTATCAAGCTTTTTAAGAATCTCCTTCAAAGATACACTGATATTTTCGATTGCATCTAAAATTGGGTCAATAATTTGTGGAAACTATATATATTATATATGCATAATTTTTTATAAAATATTAAAAAAAAATTTTTCAAGTTTCATAAACAAATGAAATTTTCAATTAATCTTACTTTATCATGTCTTATTCTAACATTTGCTACTTGAGTTAGTGTATTACGAGGTACTTTAGTATTGGTAAGTATAAATCGAATGGAATGAAAGCTTACAAAGTCTTAGTCAATATATATGAAGTTTTTGGGGGTTGATTCTTTTTAATCATCAAAAATAATTCTTACTCCTTGATTGGTTCTATTTTCCCACTCTTATACAATACAGCTCCACCTAAGTCCGTCAAAATAAAATTCAAGAAACATTAATGATTGTAAGTATAAAAATAAACCATTAAGGTGATTAATTACCATAAGTAGCAACACTATTATCTATTCCTGACGGTCTTCCATGTATAACCTTTTCGGCTTGATAAGCCCATTGATTTATCAATTTTGCAGCAGAAGTATCAGTTTTTTCATCATCTTGATTACTGCTATTATTTGGAATCGAAATATGACCAAGTACAAGTAATAATCCTGTAGCCAAACAGACTGAATAAGTTGCTGATGATCCTAAGCCAGCACCAACAGGGAGATCTGAGCTTACATAAATTGATATTCCACTCCTATTTTGTAAAAGAAATTATTATTTCTGATAATGCTAGCAAATAAATTATATAAATTAATTACCATAAAGCCCGTTTATCTTCAATACTTGCAAAAAGATAAAGAAATGCTGAGGCGGCTACCTGTTGTAAATGGTCCAACTTTTGTTCATCTTCATTTCTTTTATTTCCCTCATGAACAAATGGTTTAATTGCTTGAAAGAGTTCTTCATTAAATAATGGTTCATCATCACAGTTACCACCTTTTGATGAATCTAAATTGATAAATTGTTTATGGTTGAGTGATAAACACAGTCATAATAGATAGTTCACATAAAATAATCAAGAAATCATCATCGCCATATCATCATCATCATTTATTTAATTACATTTTTTCATAGATGTAAATGCAGAAATTGGCCATAGCAAAGGATGACCAAGTTCTAAATCTGGTAAATTTAATTCGATATACCCATCTAATCTTTTTTCAAAAATTATGTATGTTCGAAGTCCATCCAAGCATCCCGCAATTGCAGACTAAAA